AGCAATTTATGTTACAACCATGTGTGTGATTCAGAGCCCATAAATACTTGTAGTTCGATATGAAAGTAGTGACATCGAAGTAAATATGACGTCATTGTTTACTTGCTCATTATAATATTCCAGCCCAGCTCGCGTTGGGCATACAGTGTTTGACTTTGGTGTTACTATACTACTATACTGTCTATGGTTAAACAGGGCCCAAATAGATAGGGAGTAAAACAGGGAAGTGGAAGAGCTGTCCATGCATTGACCAATCACACAGGAGCTCACAAACACCAACGAAATATTTGTTGTTGTACTTTGGCACTAAAAACAATGGAACGTTTATAGGCTTAACGTTGGATTTAGATCGTGTTATAATCCAAATCCCCTAGAAAGAGTTGTAAGCACAAATTTTCATATGCAACGATGTCAGAAATATGATTTTTTAACATTAAAATGATTGACATTTGTATCTGATAGTCAAACAAGTACTTGTCCATATTGAGAGATATTGCTCTGGAACAGCATTCAAAATCAACCATTTTGAATACATGTATATATATATATAACATGATGTGTAACGAACATATAAAATTTGAACATAATCAGTCATAATCAGCATTTAAGAGACATGGCTCTAGAAGCCCAATCATTAAAACAAAATGAACGCCAGACAGCCGTTTTGAATCCGATGTGAAAAATAAATGATGTGCATCAGGAACCGATAATGTATAATGTATGTACCAAGTTTGAACAAAATCCACCCATAAATGCTTGATATTTGATGATTTTTTAGCACAAAAATGACCACCATTCGACCATTTTGAATAGGATCGTCGAACCAATATATCTGTTTATCTATGACATGATGTATAATGAATATTTAAAATTTGAACATAATCAGTCAAAACAAGTCGAAGATATAGGTCTAGAAGCCCATTCATTAAAACAAAATGGCCGCCAGACAGCCATTTTGAATCCGATCTGAAAAATGAATGATGTGCATCAGGAACCTGTAATGTCTAATATATGTACCAAGTTTGAACGAAATCCATCCATAAATGCCAGAAATGCTCGATATTTGATGCTTTTTTTAGCACAAAAATGGCCACCATTTGGCTATTTTTAATAGAATCGTCAAACCAATATATCTGTCTATCTATGACATAAGGATAATGAATATTTAAAATTTGAACATAATCAGTGAAAGCAAGTCAGAGATATGGCACAAGAACCACATTCATTAAAACAAAATCTTGTCAATCAAAATTTTGAATCTTATCGAAAAAACAAAATTATTTGCATCAAGGTCCCATAATGTCTAATGTATATACCAAGTTTGAACAAAATTCATCTGTAAAAAGCCGAGAAATACTTGATTTTTAGGATTTGTTAGCACAAAAATGGCCGCCATTCGGCCATCTTGAATCAAATCATAAAACAAAATGATGTGCATCAAAGTCCTATAATGTCCAACGTATATACAAGGTTTGAACAAAATCCATCTGTAAACGGCTGGGAAATGCTTGATTTTGATGATTTTGAGCACAAAAATGGCCGCCATTCGACCATCTTGAATCAGATCGCGAAACAAATTGATGTGCATATGTATAATATCATGTATGATATATGTGTGAAGTTTGATTGTGATTGCTCCAGGCATTTCTAAGATACAGGTCCGGACGCACGCATGGACACACAGAGGTCAAAACATAAGTCCCCATTTTCGGACTGCGTCCGAACGGGGACTAAAAAATAAAAGCCAGAGTAAGCTCTAGAAACATTTGTCATAAAGATGATAGTAACACATTGTACTGTCAATGCTGAATAAAATCACTTTTCAGCTATATTACAATAACATTAAATGCGATTTTCTGTTCAACGGCGAGATCTCGCGAGTTGCGTGAAAAACATGCACCGAACGTCTGCCACAAAAATCAAAAGAATTTCTTGATTTCGTAGCTCACATCAAAAGGTTGATCTATGACAGGGGAATATTGCGTTTGAATACCCTTACTTCAACTAAATTGACCATCTTCAAATATTGACAGCACATTATTATGCATAAATACTTTCACATTTGTGATGTGATGTTTGACGCCACAACGACTATATGACCTTTGTTTGTTCTGTTTTTACATTCAATTTCACACATAAGTCAAGATCTTGCAGTGAGCAGAAAATTGTCTATTACAGTAAGAGCATGCAACTGATATATGTTTAGAAGACAGAATATCACCTTCAGTTGATCTTGTTCTTGTGCAAGTCTCTCATGCATGGCTTCACTTCTCCATGATAAATCATCCAAGGCTGTGGAATGTGCCCTTTGTGGATCTGTATCTCTTTCAACAATGCTTTCAAGTTTTGTCTGAAAATTAAATAAAATCCAATCAAATATATGTTCACATATAACCTTGACAGGGAGTATAAACATGCTGGTGCTCAACGGCATTAGATGAATACTGTAATATATAGTTCAGATTTAACACTTAGTGTACAGCATTTAAGTGTTCTTTCTGACTGCTCTACAGTGTCCTCAAGGCAGTTCACACTTTCATGGTGATATACTGTATCAACAGAAAGATTACAACTATAACAAAGTAGGTGTTACAAACTATGGCATTAAGTGAGATGATTCAATTCTAATCACCCCTCAGTCAAGGTTGCAATGGGCCATTCCAGTTTATATCTGCACCCCTCCCCCCATGTTGATGAGTTTTTTGTGTTTACTTCATACAGGGTATAATTTCTATGGGTGTATAAGTCATACAAAGTTTTATTTCCAAATCACCATTCACCATACAGTAATGGAAATCCAAAACTATAGTTCCTACTTATGGTGTTGATGACTTCCATTGTGCCACCATACAGAGTGGGATTTCAAATATAACCCTCATCATATGCTAATTTACTAAGTTCAAAATTTTATATTTGATAATGGAAATCCAAACTAGTTCTGATTCACGGTGTTGATGAGCTCATTCGTGCCACCATACAGAGCAGGATTTCCAAATATAACTCGTCATATGATGCCAATTTTCCAAGTTCAAACTGCAGTAAAGGGGAGGGACATCATATTAGTAATAGAATTAGCATTTTAAAACAAGCGGCCTATCGGCCGAGATAGCTATGCTACACCGATACACTAAAACTTGGAAGAAAAAACGTCAAAGACTAATTTCACTCAAAAAGGTTTCCTAAATATTTCCGTTCATCTTGTATTCTGCTGAATATTTCAATACTATTTCTGGCTTGAACGGGTTTGATTTTCCTCATCTAACAGCAATAGAATACAAAGGTTCTAGAAAGTTTATAAAATTAGTCATTTATTGTACAATGTAATGCTATGGCATCTAGAAAATGATTGCACTTTTCTAACGTAGTTCGAACGTATTCAAATATGCAAATGAGTTCAATGCAAAGCTGCTTTGTG